GTCAGTTTTTGAGCAAGCTTCCCCAGCTTCTTCTCCAGACCCCATGCCGTGCTGATTTGTGCAGCAGCAAATGAAAATGCTTTAGAAACTGCAGTCTCTATGATTGGGCTGACGAAGTTGAGGGCAAGTTCAGCCATTATGCTTAGAGAATCAGAGAAAAATGGCTAGCACAATTAAACTCTGCAAAAGAATAGGGGAATAGTGTTGAGAGAGCAGAGATTGGAGCAGCCACTGGACTAAAAATAGGTTGAAATGTTGATGAAGAATCTGCAAATACAAGGTAATCACTTACCAGATCTGATCCTAAAATGCTTAGCCACACAGAAAGATAGCAAACGTAAGAGAATCCTGAGAGACAAACAGAAACGGTGTTTGTGAGAGAACTGAGCACAGATAAGGAGGGATTGAAATGCAGCCCTGTTTTTATAGAGCAGAGACACCACTGTAGCCATACGCGCATAGGGATGTCTGCTTAGCCAATGCAATTATGTTTCTGTGATATTTCCCATTTACTTTTTCTTATTTTATTCTTTCTTATCCTTTTTTTGGTATAAAACGATGGGAATAGCATTAGATAATAATGTTCCCGTGAATGGAGTTCCTCTTATTTTATTCTTTCTTATCTTTTTTGGTATAAAAAGATAGGAATAGCATAAGATAATAATGTTCTTGGGAATCGAATTCCCCATTACATCAAGATAATACATATTACACATCAGTAGGACATTGTTCCAAAACAACAAAAAGAGGAAGCTAAAGTGGTACCCATCTTAGCCGAAAGGTCTGCAAGAGCATTGGCATCGCGGTAGATATGCTGTAGGTGAACTTCAGGAATTTGGCGTAGGAGAGCCCTGCAGTCATCAAGGAGAGTAGCAAGAGGATGAAAATTAATATAGTTAGAATTGAGCAAAGTAACTGCTACTTTTGAATCAGTTTCCACAATGATTTTTGTAAGCCGCTTTCAACAGCAAGACTAAGACCATCTCGAATGGCTTATAACTCTGCAGCAAGGCTATTAGTGTGGCCAATGTTTCGGGAATAATATCCCAAAAACCAATGGCCCCTATGATCTTTCTTATCTAGTAGTGCTTCTCCTTTCCTGCTTTGCTTTTTCTTATTTTATTCTTTCTTATCTAGGAGTGCTTCTCTTTTCCTGCTTTCTGCCACTATGTGAATAATTGACCAAAGCCGACTGTCCCATTTCTTTCAAAGTTCCAGTTCACCTTTTCTATTCTTTACAAATTAAAGTGAATTTCTTACCCTATTTTCCGTCACCTCTTTTGCTCTTTTTCTAATGTAAATAAACAGAATTTTCCATGATGTCTCTTTTTGCTGGAGGTAAGTTTCTGGGCAATGGAATTTCATGTTCCTTCGTTTTTCCTTCTATTACTTTCTATATAAGGTAAATTAATGTAATGTTTCCACGGTACCCTCTTATTTTGTTGATAAATTATAAGTATAATTTTTAAAAGAGATTAGTGCTTATACCTGTTGTATTACTTAAAAATTAAGATGAACATTACATTAAAATTATGTTGTTTTAAATAAAAGATCAAAAGAAAATTAAGACAAAAAAAATCTAATTAATGTTCTAAGAAAATAATTTTTAGTTTTTTTTAATGAAAAATTATTGAAATGAGATAGTATTTTTCACATTTTCCTTTTCCCTTTTCTAAGTATAAAGATTAACATTTGTTGCTTAGTTGGCAAAGCTAAAAATATAAAAAAAAGCTTGCTACTTTTAATTATAAAATTTCTTATTCTATCTATCATCAATTGGTTTAAATTAGATGCTCTTCTTGTTTACATACTCATAAAATTTTTACATTATGCCTAATAATGAGAGATAATTAGTAAAATACTTAGAAATATTCATAAAAATATATAATTCAAAGCTAAAAAAAGTATATAGAAGTAACATCTTGTCTCTAACATAATCTTCCTACAAAAAAATAATTTCTTACTAATCTTTAATACGTTTGGTACATGAATATTTTTCAGTTCAAATGATAAAGTACTAGTTACTGGATGGAGTGACCTTCAATTATTATCAAGGACCCTTCATCATCAAAATGTTTAACTCCAAATTGCAAAATACCTTATTAATCTTTAATTCTACAAAAAAAAAATCAACCTCAATTATGTTTTACATCTTCTGTTAGGCCATAACAAATTGACTGAAGGGCAATAGGATGTTTTTGTAACACATCTCATTCAATTCTTCTCCATAGCTTTTCTTTAACTACCTTTCAAGGAAAATTAATAATATATATGTGTGATTTCTGTGATATTTTCTTTTGCTGAAGCAACTGATACTTATCTTTTTTCTTGTAAAATTTTCAATAATAAAGATGATATCTTAATCTTCATTTTCATTTTTTTAGTTATTTTACCTTTGATATATCTAGCCGTTTAGTTATGAGTTTGTCTGTAATATTGCAAATGTAATATTATAAATACTAAATAAATAAAAAAATTTGTTACCCCATTCAACGGTTGATTTTGATTTATAACGGCCAAAAAAACACAAAAACCTATTGATTGATTGATCAGCAAAACCGAAGGAGTGATAACTGTTATGTGTCATTAGACTATTAGACGAAGCTCAAGTGTCCAAGCGGACGCAAATGGGTAAGTTTCCTTAGCAGCCCTCTTGTGTTCTGCTCTTATCTCTCCTTTCCTCACCCTTATTAAAAAAATGTAATGATAATAATTGATAATTATTTTTTGTTAAAAAAATATTTAAGATTAAATCGTAAAATAATTAATGAATTAACCTTATTTTAATATTTTATTAAATAATTTACTAACTACTAATTATCTGCTCAGATTATTGGGATTGTCACCGTAAAGAACGGTGTGTGATAACCTGGTAAATTACCCTCTTTTTTTTTTTTGGATTTGTAATTGGACTTTGTGCTCTTTTTTAAGGCCCACAATCATAGATAACAAAGTTCGACTTTCAAGTGAAATGGACTTTCCAAACCCAGGGCCTAATGAGGCCCTTTGCCCCCAAAAAAATTTCAAACCTAAAAAATACTGGGCCTTAAAGGCCACCGGAGGCATCCAATAGTCAAAAGGCAAAAACTCAGTCCTCACGTCAATCTGTTCAATGTCAGTGATTCCTAGATACTTATGGTTGGCCTTTTTACTCATTTCCATCAATTACATCTACAAAGCAAGATGTAAATATTGGAATGCCTTTTAAAGGGGAAAACTTACAAAGTTATAATTCTATCATAACCACATTGAAGCTATTGAGACCATTTTACGAGCAATCACTTGCACAGGGATCTCATTGTCAATTTCTTCTCCACTCTAGTTGTTGATTGCATGTCCATTATTACATCATCAAACTCAGAGTTGTATAGAGAATTTATTCAAACAAGGTATAATATGTTTTAGATTCAAAGAAAAAAGGCTTGAAAAGCCGTACCATCTTCCTTGTTTGTTGGCAATTGAATGAGATACTCTACCATAAAACCACAAAAGCCTAAGAATTGGTGGAAGAGTTGATCTGTTGGTTAACTCCAAGTAAAATTCAATGCTTTCCTCACTACTGCAAAATGTGTGTACACATAACCGATGGCACCAGCATCTATACATTTCAAGAAAAATTGAAAGGACTGCAACCATGATTTATGCTAGTGTAGCTGCAGTGCTCTTGTCAATGGGAAAAGCATGTTCTCAAAATGTTGTAGTTCACAAAGTCATAAGGAGTCCAGACTCCAGATTTCATCATTAACAGTTTGCAAAGTAGCAAGTCGCAGAAACACCATAATCTCTAACCTGAAATGGAATAAATTCTTTGCTTAAAATTTTAATTCAATATGAAATTAAACTGATCAAATTTATAAACTGATTAAAGGCACATATGACTTCAAAGTAACAAGACAAACCTAGAGAAGACTCTGGTGTAGGTTCTAACAAGAGAGAGCCACTGAAGAAATAACAGTTCAGTTTGCACAGCAGATCAGGCATTTGGCACGGTAACCCTGAAGAAATTTCAACAACCATGATTGCAAATGTGTCAATATAGATTTTTACAGATCATTCCTTAACCAAGGAAAGAAGAATATCCTTTTTGCTAAACTTATATGTAACTTTTATTGGTGAATCATAATCACTAAAGTGAAGTAAAATCCTACCAAAATAAAATCAAATCTTAATTAAAAGATGATTTTTAGTTTCACAACCCACCTTTGTAGGGCAGTCCACTTAAACTGGCAATCCAAGACAGCTCAAGACATTGATTAGCAAGACAAATGTCTATATACCAGTATACTTGCACCTCAAAATGTGGTCATAATTTGAAACTTACGTGGCTGTAGAATAGCTAAATCTGTTTATGAGCCTCAACAACTCAAAGAGAGGACTACTCATCTGGTTGAGTCCCTAGTGTGAAAATTCCCTCCAGTCATCATGATATTTTTTTGGTTTCAGATCAGGAAAATTAGATTGCCTGTAATTAGTTTAAGGAACATAGTTGAACAAAACTGAAGTGAACAAAGAAAAACACAAAAGAAAAAAAAAAATCATACTCAAAATCTAAAAGTTGGTTTATAGAGAAAAGAAAGCAGACCTAAAAAAGTAAAGCTTTTGATTGCTAGTGTAAGCATTTGATTATGCATTAGTTCACAATTAAACCATGGCTACTCGAAGAAATTATGAAAATAACAAAGGACCTATTGGTAGAAAAAACATAGCTATGGAATTGGAATGAAAATAAAAATGGACAGAAGGATTGTAGAAAGGAATTCAGGAACTCACTAGCTTTAGAGGAACCCTGAGGCTTGAGCAGATCCGCATAAATATTTAGAAGTCGAAGGTATCTGAATCTGCATGAATCACCGAAATTTGGTCAAAGGATTATTTGAATAACATAATATGTTTTAGAGAAGAGGACGTGTTTTTTTTTCCAAAGTAAGAGATTAAAAAGAAATGCTTTACAGTCCTTAAATTTCTGATTAGCATAATACTTAAATGATGTGGAATGAAGGGATTAGGGTTCCAGAAATTAAACATACCAATGGAAGAATATTGGTATTTTCCCTGCACGTCCTTGAAATCTATTTTGATATTGGGAATGTGGGAGACCTTGGACCATTCGGGGCCCCTCTTTTTGGCACATCTTTTCTCCAATTTCGGACAATGCAAAATTTGAAGACATTGTAAGTTGGAGAGGCCTCGCATGGCTTCAATAGAAGGCAGATGAGTCAAATTAGAGCAATTCCCAATCTCCAACCAATGAAGAGAAGAGAAGTCTCCCAACCACTCTGGCAAAGCTTCCAGGCCATTGAACTTCCTTAACCCCAATTCCTTGAGGGCAGTGAGATGTCGAAGCTGATGTGGCAGAGACTTTAGTTTATCCCATCCGTACAAGAGCAATACTTCAAGCGAGGGGTGGAATTGATGAATGGAGGTCAATCCTGGGAATTCCTCCAACTCCGACCAAAAAGGACCAAGCCGTAACTTCGTCAAGCGGGTGAGGCTATCTAGCCACTCCTCTGGAAGGCTCCTTAGATTTTCACAATATGTTATTGTAAGAACACTGAGAGAACGCAATTTCTTGATATCGTCAGAAATGGATATTAAATCAGGGCAATATTGAATTTTCAACTGCTGAAATGAAACGCAAGAGTCCAGCCCAATTGGAAGATAAGTTAATCCATTGCAATAAGAAAGGAAGAGGACTCCAAGAGATGTGAACACATTCATGCTTGGAATGGAGTTTAGATTTTCGCAACTAATTTCCAAGAACCGAAGAGAGATGCAGGATACAAGCCCAATTGGTGGACTTGTTAATCCACTATTACCCATAAGCTGTAAGCTTTTAAGAGTTGAGAGCCCATCTAAACTAGGGATAGCCATCAGTTTATCACAGCGGTCTATCACCAGCCGAGAGAGCTTATGATGAGATGAAAATCCGCCCATTGACCAAGTCTCCAACGAATAACAATTAAAAATATTCAACTGCTCAAGGCAAGGAAACACGATCACACCTTGGCTCCCTGCAGCTGCATCCTCAACAACTTCAACCCATTCCTCTAGCTTTTCCATGCCGAATACGGTGAGTGATTTCAAAGCTGGGAACAATCTGATTGATTCTGCTCCGCCAGGCTGAAGCTTGTGACCCATTCTTCTAACATTATGCATTCCGTTAATGCGAAGAATTTTGAGAAAAGGCAATAGTCCCAAACTTGGAATACACGTGCACTCATTGCAATCAATTAACTGCAACTCCACCATGTTGTCAAGAAGGAATGAAGAACCAGAACCATTGACATCAATCCCCATCCAAGATGGGAACATCTTTCCTTTGTAACCATCAATAGTGAGGCTTTTCAAATTTGAATGAGGTTGAAGGCTTTCCAGAACCTCTTCATCGTTGTTGTTGTTGACTGCTCTTTCATTCCCAGTACTCCAGTATAATTTCAATTGATGCAATTTTGCCTTTTCTTTCAAGTCTGCTTTAGAAGCTTCCAATTTGGATTTGACATGTTCAAGCTTCCGAATCTCTAGTTCTCCTCCAAGTTGGCTTAAGCATCCAAGGTCTTCAATCCGGCATCCCTTTTTTGTGCCCACAACAAAGTGTGATAATGTTTGAAGGGAAGTTAACTGCAGGATCGATATATCCCTTGGACAAGTAGAATAGATATGCCTCAAGCTGGTGAGATTTTCCATGCCATTGGGAAGCTTTTCAAGATCACAGTCAACAAAATTTGAAATCTGTAAATTATAGAGCTTGGAGAAGGATTTTGGTAGTGTTCTGACATCAGTATTTGAGATGTCAAGGTACCTCAAATGCTTCAATTTGCCAAGAGAAGCTGGCAACTTTTTCCCATCTCCCTCTAACTTCAAGGATCGCAAGCTTTTGAGATCTGAGGCCATGCTACAAAAAACATCAACATCTGAAAACAAAGAATGCAGCCTTTGAGCAACACTTGTTGGAATGGTTAGAAGATTCTTTCCGTTGGACTTGACTCTCAAATGTTGAATGGTACTACAATTCTGAACATCAAAATTGCAACTAGTGTCCCAAACCAAGGTCTTACCTTTTGAAACAAGCAATGCAAGATCATGTACCATATCATGCATTTGACAAGATTCAATATTCCCATACAAATCCCATTCAATATCTTGAAATAAAGAATTAGATAACAACTCCTTGAAATACTCTTTACCAATATCCTCCATTTCCACGAGGCTTTCATTAGATTTGTGAACAAACCCCTGAGCCACCCAAAGTTGAATTAAATCATCTATGAAAATGACAGCATCCTTTGGAAAAATTGAACAATAAGAGAAGCACTTTTTCAACGATGAAGGCAAACGATCAAAACTGATTTTCAATATAGATAAAATCTTCTTATTTTCATCTTGCAAAATCCATGCTTTATCATCTAAGATCTCTTGCCACTTATCTGTCTTCATTGCACGACTCAATGTTCCTCCAATTACACTTGCAACTAATGGCAACCCCCCACATTTTTTGGCAATTTCTTGTCCAATACCTTCTAAATCCAAAGGTATTGAAGTTTCTGTTGATGATCTGAGAACTATGTCCTCAATTATCAACCAGCATTCAAGATCTGATAGCTTTACCATATCATGTTTTTGCATTGGAAGTGCCTCCATTATGGATGCTACCTTATCACTACGAGTAGTCACAAGAATGGAGTTTCCACTGGTTTTTAAAATTTTTAACAAACGAGAATTGAAACTATCCCACTTGCCTCTATCTTCATTCCACACGTCATCAAGAACTAGAAGAAATTTTCTATTTTCTAACTTCTGCCCAAGTTTCTGCATAAGTGCACCTATATTATTCATTCGACCAACAGATTCATCAAGGTATTCTAACATATCTCCTAATATTCTTTTTTCATCAAATTCCTCAGCCACACAAACCCAAGCCACCAGGTCATACAACTTTTGTTCGTTTACCATACTGCAAATTGACTTCGCTAATGTTGTCTTGCCTATGCCCCCAAAGCCTACCATTGAAATGCCAGAGAGGATATGTTGACTCCTCATGTTATCCAGCTTGTTGACAATTTCTAAGACATCATTATGCCTTCCTACAAATTTGGAACAATCAGGGATGGGATCTGTCTCAGGATATTGCCTTGCACCAGCAGTGGAATGACATTGGTCACTAAATCTGATTGACAGACACAAAACCCCTTGGTTGTTGATTTCATCCAGAGTCTTATTAATTTTCCTAATCTTATCAGCCATGCTAAGACGAAAGGCAGTGCGATTGAAAACACCAAAGAAAGTGCGCACCTGTTTCATCTTTCGGCCTTGAGTCTGAACTTTGTGCTTAAGAACCTCATACTCGTACTCATCCAGTACATCCACCGCTTCATAAGCTACATCTGTGAGGTCCTGTAACCAACTCCTTATGGCTGGATTGCTTTCTTGCCTCTCTTCAGCATCTTGAAGCAATCCTTGTATCATAGTCAGTTTTTGAGCAAGCTTCCCCAGCTTCTTCTCCAGACCCCATGCCGTGCTGATTTGTGCAGCAGCAAATGAAAATGCTTTAGAAACTGCAGTTTCTATGATTGGGCTGACGAAGTTGAGGGCAAGTTCAGCCATTATGCTTCGAGAATCAGAGAATAATGGCTAGCACAATTAAACTCTGCAAAAGAAAAGGGGAATAGTGTTGAGAGAGCAGAGATTGCAGCAGCCACTGGACTAAAATATGTTGAAATGTTGATGAAGAATCTGCAAACAAAACGTAATCACTTACCAGATCTAATCCTAAAATGCTTAGCCACACAGAAAGATAGCAAACGCAAGAGAATCCTGAGAGACAAACAGAGATGGTGTTTGTGAGAGAACTGAGCACAGATGAGGGGAGACTGAAATGCAGCCCTGTTTTTATAGAGCAAAGACACCACTGTAGCCATACGCGCATATGGATTTCTGCCTAGCCAATGCAATTATGTTTCTGTGATATTTCCTATATTTGTTTTTTTTTACTTTTTCTTTCTCGTCTAGTAGTGCTTGTCTTTTCCTGCTTTGCTTTTTCTTGTTTTATTCTTTCTTATCTAGGAGTGCTTCTCTTTTCCTGCTTTCTGCCACCATGTGAATACATGACCAAAATCGACTGTCCCATTTCTTTGAAAGTTCCAGTCTACCTTTTCTATTCTTTGCAAATTAAAGTGAATTTCTTACCCCATTTTTCGTCACCTCTTTTCCTCTTTTTCTAATGTAAATATATAGAATTCTCCATGATGTCTCTTTTTGCTGGAGGTAAGTTTCTGGGCAATGGAATTTCCTGTTCCTTCGTTTTTCCTTCTATTACTTTCTATAAGGTAAATTAATGGAATGTTTCCACAGTGCTTTTTTATTTTGTTGATAAATTATAAGTATAATTTTCAAAGAAAATTATTGTTTATATCTGTTATACTAATTAAAATTAAGATAAATATTACACTAAAACTATGTTGTTTTAACTAAGGATCAAAAGAAAATTAAGACAAAAAAATCTAGCTAATGTTCTAAAAATATGATTTTTAGTCTTTTTTTTAACAAAGATTTATTTAAATGAGATAATATTTTTCACATTTCCCTTTTCCCTTTTCTAATTAGAAAAATTAACATTTGTTGCTTAGTTGGCAAAGCTAAATATGTATATATATATAAAAGCTTGCTACTTTTGATTATAAAATTTGTTATTAGATGCTTTTCTTGTTTAAATACTCATAAATTTTTTATATTATGTCTAATAATTTAAGATAATTAGTAAGATATTAAGAAATATTCATAAAAATATGTACAATTCAAAGCTCAAAAAAATGTAAGAGTAACACCTTATCTCTAACATAATCTCCCTACAAAAAAATAATTTTTTACTAATCTTTAATACGTTTGATAGGTGAATATTTTTCAATTCAAATGATAAAATACTAGTCATGGACCCTTCATCATCAAAGTGTTTTACTCCAGATTACAAAATATCTTTCTGATCTTTAATTTTATGAAAGAAATCAACCTCATTTATATTTTGCACCTACTGCTGGGCCATAAGAAATTGACTAAAAAGCAATAGGATGTTTCTGTAATATATCTCATTCAATTCTTTTCTTTAGTTTTTTGTTTAAGTACCTTTCAAGGAAATTTAACAGCAATTATGTGTAATTTCTTATGATATTTTCTTTTGCTGGAACAACTAATACCTCTCCTTTTCCCTATAAAATTTTCAGCAGCAGCGATGATATCTTCATCTTCATGCTCATTTTCTTAGTTATTTGTATATGTAATCCTTTAATTATGAGTTTACTTGTAATATTACAAATGTAACATTATAAATATTAAATAAATAAATAAAAATTTATTACCCCATTCAACGGTTGATTTTGATTTATTACGGCCAAAAAAACACAAAAACCTATTGATTGATTGATCAGCAAAATCGAAGGAGTGATACTTGTTACGTGTCACTAGAGGAAGCTCAAGTGTCCAAGCAAAAACACAAAAACCTGTTGATTTTCCTTAGTAATAGGTAAATATTTTTGTTAAAAGAATATTTAAGATTAAATTATAAAATAATTAATGAATTAACCTTATTTTAATATTTTATTAAATAATTTACTAACTACTAATTATGTGTTCAGATTATCGGGATTGTCATATTAAGGAACGCTGTGCGGTAACCTGGATAATTATCTTTTTCTTTTTCTTTTTCTTTTTTGATTTATAATAGGACTTTGTGCTCTGTTTTAAGGCCCACAATCATAGGCAAGAAAAAATTTCATCTTTCAAGTGAAATGGACTTTCCAAACCCTGGGCCTAATCAGGCCCTTTGCTCGAAAAAAAATTTCAAGCCTAAAAAATGCTGGGCCTTATAGCCCACCGGAGGCTTCCAAATCCAATGGTCAAAAGGCAAACACTCAGTCCTCACCTCTTGCATGCGACGGCCTCATCCTCGCAATTCTCTCCGGTGAGAACACAAGCGTTAATCTCTCTGCGTCGTGTCGCGTTAGTCTACCTTAATCGGTATTTTGCTTCCATCTATGAACAGATGCGATCGG